TTGTGTGTGTGTGTGTGTGTGTGTGTGTGTGTGTGTGTGTGTGTGTGTGTGTGTGTGCGTGTGTGCGTGTGAATTTGTGAAAGCCGTTTAGGTTTACAGGCTACTAGGATGAAAACTGTCCTTTGTTTCTGGACTTGTAGAGAGAAATGCCTAGGTTTTCCTGGAGGGGTTTTGACGACTCGGGTGAACTTGTTCTCCGAAGTCTGTAGAGCTCAGAAACGTGTATTTCATCAGGAATAGTGGTTTTCGTATACGAAGATTGTGAAGACACTGGAATTTGTCTAAGTAGGCCCTATATGTAGAGAAAGGCGCAGAACGTTGACGTTTTGGTTGGGAGGGTCCAAGTGAAATGGAGGTGTCTGTTCTTGGCTGGCCTTCTCCTTTGGAATCCATTTAGGGGGAAGATCCATGAGAGCAAAGATCTCATGGGGGGAAGATGATTTGCAAGCATAGCGATCGCTTAAGTGGGGATGAGACGGACTTCTCGTACCTTGAGAGAATGTATTGATGTCATCTTTTGGCGGTGGAGGCGTTTTGATGTTGCCCTGCTGAAGTGTTGAAGACCCAAACGACGTCAGCTCAGGTGGTAGAAAAGCCCTGTGCGATACTGTCCGAGTTCGTGGGCATTTGTTTCGCTGTTGCGGGTTGATATGCTTGCTGGAGAGGGGCTAGTTAGGAGCAGCAGAAACTGGATGGGGGCATTGGGGGGTTGAATATATGTACCTACCCAGATGACGTCATCAATTCCCAACAAGGTAGTGGACGGACCGTCGGCTGTGTATGTGCGCCACCAATCCGAGGAAGACCGAGTTCACAGACATCTGGTTTGTTGTTCTGAGAGGGCGACTGACTAATGCAAGTTCATCGATTTAGACTCTTTCCCGTCTGCTAATTCACTTAGTTAGGTGCTGCTACGAGCGCTCTGTCGCATTCGACCTGTGGTTTGTTGTTCTGAGTGGGCGACTGACGAACGCAAGTTCATCGATTTAGGCTCTTTCCCGTCTGCTGATTCACTTAGTTAGGTGCTGCTACTCTGTTGCATTAGACTTGAATGGTTCGCCGGTTGAATGGTTCAACCAAATGCTCTCATCCCGAAACGGGATTCCAACTGTCGGGTTGGACGAGAATGCAGACTGCGCTTCAGGTGATGTTGCCACTTCGTGGCCTGGTTCCGGCTCTTCCAGCCCTGGTATGCTTTGCTGGAGAGGGACTAGTTAGGAGGAGCAGAAGCCGGCCTCACACCCCCCTTCTATCCATTAAGAATGTCCTGAGAATGGCAACTACAGCAGGATTGATGCATCAAGTTTTATGTCCAATTTGGTGGATCAGGAGCTCTCTGGGACTAGATGTTAGGAGCTCCCCCCCAGAATTGGATGTATTCTCACCGAGATAGTGTTGTAAAAATCGTTCCCGATTATCGTGGGGCTGTGGCAGTGAAGGGAGGAAGCGGGGAGGAGAGAACCGAGAGGTGTACAGGGTGATGGGAAACAGAGTCGGAAGAAGAGAGGGGGAAAAGGGGGGGGAGGGGGGATTTCCGATAGGCGGCTAGGTGATGGATAGAGTAGTTGGCAGGCTAGGTAGTACGAAGCTGGAGACTATTAAAAGCCTCGGTGTACCGGACAGCTTAGACAGCTAGAAAGTTTGCTCACTATAATAGAAGTAACTACTTCCCCCCCTCCCCCTCCCCCTCCCCCCCCAAAGCCCAGGCTGCCCAGGTTGTTGTAGAGGTGAGATAACTTCTTATTTTTTAGCCTTAGGTGAAGCTGGTAGGGAGCAGCCGCAACAGGTGCAACCGAGAAATTTAGCGACCATTCTTGTTGCTTCAAGGCTGCCATTTGCTTGGCCATTGAAGCAGAGAGGCATTGTGGTCTTGTTTTTTTCCGTTCTGCTATTGGTTATTATTAGATAATGTTGATGTCGGTAGGGAGAACGGTTTGTTAGGTATCAGCTAGGTAGGCAACAGCTGAGGAGCTGGAAAAGGACGGAGAAGGCTATTTGCCATATTAGGAAACTGGGTAGCTCCCTTGTTGAACTACAAAACTGGTAAACCACCAGTTCACATCAGCCAAAGCCGACGAAGCTACCGTCCAAGGTTCGAGAGACTGCAAGTGTACTTTTTCAAAGTGCCCTGCTGCTTTGGCTACCACCTTTTCAAAGTGTCCTGCTGCTTTGGCTACCAGCTCAGGCCCGAATCGAAATTCTCTTACTGCGCTACCGGTAAGAACACAACTTAGCTTCGCGTGAACCGGTGGTGTGAACCACTAGTACACGCCCCAGGCAAACGTTAGAATTGAAATCGGCTCATTCGGAAAAGTTGGGAGGCTTGGGGCTGGCGGCACCAGTCAAAAGGAAAGAAAAAGTGCCCGCGCTGAGGGCGCTCGTGTTTCAGCAAAGCTGGGTTCGGGCAGGGGGGATCCACTTTGTCAAAAAGAGGCTCGGATGTGCTGGTGGTTTAAACCACCCGTACAGCGCGCCCCTTTCGGAGGCCGCCCACCGTCGATTCATTTCATCTACGGTGCTCGGCGTCCTAAATTATCAGGGAGGCTCAAAGCAGAGTCTCCAGTTGCCTGGGGCCATGTACTGGTGGTGAAGGAGTTCGGGAACACAGTAGGGCCAAGTACGTTAGTCACCAGCCTATATGTATAGATGGTGGGGATGGCAGCCGGATAGATAAGGAGATGGGGGGAGGGAGTGGATTACACAAAGGGTAATGAAGGGTGGGTGGATCTGCACACGCAAGCAAAAGTGCGGGGAAGAGAACGAACGGATGGGGGACAGGCTGGAAAGAGATGAACAGAACGGTCAACCTTTTGCTATAGAGGGGAGAATCTGGACGTAACTGGTGCTCAGATACGTCTGAGAATCGTATCAGTGCGGATTTGCCCAGGGGAGAATCTGGACGTAACTTGTGCTCAGATACGTCCGAGAATCGTATCAGTGTGGATTTGCCCTTATAAGGTAACTCGCACTGAAGGGCCTATGCAAACGCCTTTTCTGCAGTTCTTGGGTGGACGGCAAGGGTGCAGACTTGAACGTGGGAGTAGCAAATTTCAATCTTTTTTCAACGTACCGAGTGTCTGTTTCTGGAATAGGAAGTAGGCACATGCTCGCTGTTGTCGTGCGTCACAGTTTGAAGTTTATATGTTTGAATTAAACTTTATTAAAGACAATTATGTAGGACTAGCGAACTTTTAGAAAGGCGATTGGAGGTTAAAGAGGGAGGTGGGCCGCATGCTTTTCTACGCCTGTGGCTTGGGCATGGCTGAAAAGCTGACAGTCGGGGCCTTCTCTTTTCCAAGTTGTGACCCAGAGGGAGGGTTCTCTCTGTCGGACAATACCGGGACTCGTTACGTTCTGCAGCTCGGGTCTGGAAGGAAGTGGCGGCGGAGGCTGAAATGAGGATTCAATGGGTTGGCTCATCATTGGAGCTAGAAGTGGGCTTTATGAGATCGAGACGAGTTTCTAGATCTCTTTTCAGGTGTGCACTCCTTTTTGGTGTAATGCAGAGGTTCATTGATGAGAGTAGCTTCCTGTCACAGAGGGAGTTCTCTCTGTCGTACAATACCAGGCCTTGTTAGGTTCCGCAGCGCAGGTCTGGAAGCGGCGGCGGAGGCTGAAACGAGGAGTCGATGGGTTGGCTCATCAATCTCGGAGCTAGAAGTGGATTTATGAGAAATACCAGGCCTTGTTAGGTTCCGCAGCGCAGGTCCGGAAGCGGCGGCGGAGGCTGAAACAAGGAGTCGATGGGCTGGCTCATCCATTTCGGAGCTAGAAGTGGCTTTATGAGATCAAGACGAGTTTCTAGATCTCTTTTCAGGTGTACTCTTTTCTGGTGTCATACCGAGGTTCATTGATGGGAGTAGCTTCCTCCTTTTTTGTTCAACTGTTTCACCAAACGCGACTTAACTGGCTTGGTCCATCTTTGAGACGATGTCTAGACTGTGTTTTGGGGCTGAAGATCAGGAGCCTAGCCCTGCAAAGGTATCAGACTCTTTCACCAAACGCGACTCACTGGCTTGGTTCATCTTTGAGACGACGTCTAGACTGTGTTTTGGGGCTGAGGATAGGGAGCCTAGCCTTACAAAGGTATCAGACTCTGACAGAAGACTGATTCAAGACGGCCAATTCCAATGGTGAAACTATTCTGCATCTGTTCCTTACAGTGTGGCTAGGGTCTCTGATCTCTGATGGGGAAGTCCAGCACTACATGCTGCATTTGTCATTACTTCAAACCGCAATTGTGTGTTTGTTAAACGGCCATTGTTGAACATTCAAAACCATAACAATCATCAGCACATGCTATGTTGTCTTTTCGTCCACAATAAAACAGGGGATTGAGTACCTTGTGATTGTGGATTAAGTAAGTGTGTAGCACTCCTATTTTCTGTACCGTGGCAGACTCTTTTTTATGTTTGTGTTCGTGTGTGTGTGTGTGTGTGTGTGTGTGTGTGTAGCTGTGTAGCCAAGCATGTGTGGGTGATTTGTGTATGTGGGATGTGTGTGTGTGTGTGTGTGTGTGTGTGAGAGAGAGAGAGAGAGAGAGAGAGAGAGAGAAAGAGTGTGTGGTCAAACCGCCAGTGCATCCGGAAGTTGTGGCTCGCATGCTGCCAGCCATTGCTAGAGTGACGTAATGTTCACTTGAATGAATTTATGCCAGCGGAGGAGGCTTGTTCGTCCCAGCATGTCGCGGCACGCGTGCTGCTGCGACTTTCTGAAGTACTGGTGGTTTAAGAGCAGCTCTTTTCCTGGGCAGCCGGTGTAGTCATTGACTGGTGAACATGTGGATGGCCATCTTAATCTCCATGCCAGAAAGGGACGATTGGTACTGAATGCCGATACTAAATGTCAAAATGGGCTGTGGCTTCTCATACTGGGCTTTGCCTGTTCAAAAAGAGGCCTTGGTGTCGACGTCCGCCTGTTATGGGAAAAAGAAAAGCTCAGGCAAGCAAGTGCATTCTTCCAATCAAATGTGCGGTGAATGGTGCGATTTGAATTCTTGACGTCCGTCTGTCTCTGTTGAAGACGACTGCTTACGTCGACCATGTGTGCCTTCGTCTTCGTTAAGGTCTCTTCATGCCATCTTCCAAGGACGATATTTCGCTGCTTCATTTATAAGACCAGGCAACCAGGTAACACGTACGCTTGGATGTTTGCTTGCCGAATGCAAGTCAGCAGCCCTCTGCTATATGTCAGGCCAACCACTGATTGAACAAAAGTTGTTCCTCCTCCAGTCGTCAGTGCTTTCGACTGCTTTCACCAAAAGCGAAGGCAGCTTTCTGGGTCTGAGGTGCGAAAGCATGGGGAGCAAACAGGATTAGATAGATCCGGCTGGTCGTCAGTGCTTTCGACTGCTTTCACCAAAAGCGAAGGCAGCTTTCTGGGTCTCTACTGACGCTGAGGTGCGAAAGCGTGGGGAGCAAACAGGATTAGATAGATCCAGCTGGGCTCTTTAACGATTTCATAGCTAAATCGTTTGTATGTTTTGGGTATGAAGTTTCTTTGAAGACTTTGGGCCTTGGTTCCCCAAGGCCAGGCAAACGCGCATGCATGCGTTTGCAATAGACAAGCATCTACAGATGGATCTTTCAATAAGAGATCGTGACCTAACTTTATTCTATCGAAGAATGTGATGATATGCCGAACTGAAAATGGAGGTCTAACATGAACACGAAGCAGAAATATGGTGGGGGGAAGATGGGGAATAATATCCTGAATGAGAGTAAATGAGGAGGACACAAGTGTCGACATATCCTGAATGAGAGTAAATGAGGACGAGACAAGTGTCGTTGGACCAGGTCGGAGAAGGCAATGCAAAGCAGGTGAGGGAGGGTGGTGGTTTATGTTCTATTCTGAGTGCCTGCATGGATTTCATGTTCACAGCTGGGTATGCTGGCGCATTGGCCCCGCACCTTGTGCTTGTTCATTCCGTCATGCCTGCATGGCAGGTAATCAGACATACCAGTTTGAAGTTCAATCCCAAGAAACATAATGATCTTGGTGGCAAGGAGATTACTGATGGAGTGAGGCATAAAGTGAGAACGGGGGAAACATATTTTGTGTGTGTAAAACCCAGGCAATGTCGCTGCGTCAGTACTGGGAAGAGAAGAGAGGCTACTCTTTAACAGTTGAAAATATTCAGGTTTCCCACAACATATTTCTGGAAAACCTCTTTATGGTAACGCTACCAAGGGGACACAGAAGCAGATATCCAGAGAAGCGATCAGAAAGCAAGAACAATCTGTGTGTCCTTTAAAGGAACTTGTGATAACATGATGATATCTACAGACCACATGGGGACTCTCTCTCTCTCTCTCTCTCTCTCTCTCTCTCTCTCTCTCTCTCTCTCTCTC